AAAGCCGGCCGGGAGAGGAGCTGGCGGAGCCCCAGGCTGCTGGCGGCGGTCAGAAGAAAGGTGACAAGACTCCCGGGGGTGGCGGCGCCAACCTCAAGGGCGACCGGTCGCGACTGCCCCGGGACCTGCGCGTGGACACCAAGTCGCGGGCGGCGTGGGCGCGCCTTCTGCACGAGCACCCCAACGCGCGCAAGTACAAAGGAAGCAACAAGAAGGGCTTGTCCAAGGGCTGCTTCGGCCTCAAGCTGGACCGGATCGGCTCCATGAGCGGCCTGGGATGTTAGTGCGGCGACCCCTGGCGGCGGTGAGTACCACCAACCCCGGCCGCCCGCGCTCCCGCGCGCCCTGCTCTAGTGCCCTCCAGAACTAAACCGCATTCGCCCGGGGTTTCTCTGGGACGGTCCCGCCTCCCAGCCGGCCTTCAAGGTGAGCCAGGCGATTCTGGCGTGGTGTCGAGTGTGTGTCCGGCCACCCCAATTATCAGCCCATTTTCCGGATGGAGACAAAGCAAGGTAAAGTGGCCAGGGCACTTTGCCAAGGTCAGAAATAGCTCAACCCGGATGAGTGCCCTCGGCTTACCCTGCAGACGCAGGAACAGGCAGTAGGGGTCCCACCTAAACACAGACCGTAAGCAAACTGGAAGCAAGGCCGCAGTTCGTGGGAGCAGGAGAGGATAAGGCATACCCAGAGGTAAGGGTGCGTTTTCCTGCCAGCAGGGCCGAGGCGGTAGGCAGCCATGAGGTCAGGGCCACTTCCTGGGCCGCTGTCTTTGCCCGGACAGTGGAGAGAACAGCGCTCCTTGGCAGCATCCGGGATCCTTCTGCCCAGGGCACTCTGAATCCTCCCTCCTCCAGACCCCGGCTGCGCCAGTTGGTCTGTCCAGGGTCCTGATGCTGCTGCAGCCCTGTGGCTTCAGCGAACCTTGTTTCCATGCTGTGTCAGGGCAGGGAAAGGCACAGACGGAAACAAATCTCACCTTTTCTGTGTCTTCAATCTTAAAATGTGCCAAATGGAGTCTCTCACTCCTGTCCCGCTCCCAAATTGTGCTGGGGCTGCCCGCTTCTGGTGTGGCCTCATGCTCCACCAGGGCTGCCAGTGCCCCATGGTGGAAACTGACTGCGGCAAAATGCATCTCCTCCTCTCCTCACCTCCTCTCTTCCTGCCACCCACCAGTGCTCATGGGATACCTACATCCCAGCCCCGACCTTGATGGTCACGGGTGTTAGGGTCAGGCTCCTGCTGCCCTCCAGCCTGGCCTCCAGCCCAGCTGCTCTGGTTGCCTCTCCCCCACCTGTCTGCTCCCCCACCCCAGCCATGGGGGTGTACTCTCTCCACCCCAAAAGCCTTGTCAGTGTCCAGTCTTCTCCCAGTGCCTCTCCAGTGCATTGCCAAAGCTCCGCCCGCCAAGGTTTACATATTTATTCCTTCTATGAGCAAGAAAGGAAAGAGAGAGACACCCCTAACAGGCTCGCGATGCGCGCTCCATCCCAGCCTTCAGCCAGCCTGGGTCATAGACCAGCAGGTGCCCACTGTGCTCAGGGAGGTCTCCAGACTTGATCCAGGAACCTTCCCAAGTGGCTCGGCCTCGCAGAGTGTCGCACCGTACTCGCCACTGGTGCCCTTTCCCTTTTTTACAGCACCGCATGCTTTTTCACCCAAAGTGTAGTTTGTGAAACTATTCACCTCCCTGTTTGTATTAACTTGTGAGCAACTTATGGGCCAGATACTGGCCAAAGGGGACCCACAGGGTCCCTAACTGGAGTCTCAAGTGTTTGTCAATGACCAGAGGAGGCTCGAGTGCCGCCAGGCTAACCTGCCGGGCTGCTGTGCTTCTTTCTTCTGCCTCCTTGACTCGCCCTGCGCAGGGAGAGAAACTGCTCTGCTACTCTGGCCAGCCTCCGTAGCCATGGCAACCCCTTGGCTCCCTTCTCTCCAGTCTAAACAATGACGAGTCCGAGGTCTCAAGTTTTCGATTCGTGATTGAAGTGCCAAGCTCACACTTCAGAACCTAAACAAGGGCCGGTTAACCTTCTGCAGGCTGGCGCCTAGATGCCTGTCCCTACGGGTGCCTTGTTTCCTGCATGGCTGCCTTTGGGCACCAGGCCATGGCCGAATGGGCATGAGAGGTGCTAAGGCTGTGGGACCCTGCTGACCAGGGGAGTAGCTCAGAGGGACACCCGCCCCGAGGCCCTTGGCCTTCTCAACCTAACTTGAGTTGGCTTCCGTTCCAAGCACCACTGTAATGACTGCTGATGGCTCCCGGTTGGTCTTCGTTATAAAATGCTAATGACAGAGACAGGTGTGGCTGACACCTGATGGACACCTTGCCCCAGGGCCCCAGGAACATCCCAGACGCCTGTCATCTGTTTAAACACATGGCACAGCCAGAGAAGGGAGTCAGGCAGAGTTCACCAGGCCATTCAGACCCAAGGTCCCTCTGTGCATGCTATCATTTGGGGGGCCACCGTATTCTCAGAAGGACACTTCCCTGGGCCCTGGAGGCCCACACACCCTTTTGCAGGGACCACCCTCATCTGACTGCTCTAGTAATTCTCAGCCCACCAAGCCCAGCACGACTGCTCATTTCCCGAGGGCTGGTGGGAGACAGTATTTCCTGGCTCCTGAAGGGGATCCTGGACCCAGGCCCTTCCCTGTGCCCCACGGTGAAGCCAGCGAGGGAGGGGAGTGTTTACAGAGTGGCGGCCGTGACCCAGACACTGCCAGTGCCTGATGTGCAGCCCTGTTGACTCTTAAAGCCAGCCCTGCGAGGTGGCTATTACGTTTATGGGCCAGGAAAGCGGCACTCGAAGCTGCCCAGGCCCATCCTGGGAGCCGGCGTCAGAGCCAGGGTCTGAGCCCCAGATGTCTGTGTTTGCTTCCCCTCTACGGTCTCCCAGATGCACACAGAAGAGGCAAGCACTTGACAGAGGGTTGGAGTCATAGCAAAAAAGGGACAGGGGCAGGGAGTGCTCACAGCGCCAAGGGCAAAGCCTGGACCAGACTGAGGGGAGGAGGGCTAGAAGACATTGATCGCACCTGGGCTGGGCAAGGAGTCCAAGGCCACAGCTGAGGCTGGGGGCTGGGAAGGCCCCTCCCCTCTCCAGGAAGGCTTCCTTAGGGGGCTCTTGGGCACGGTTAGGGGGACATCACCTGAGGCAGCCGCAGGAACAGGGAGGAGGGTTCTAGAACAGCCCTGCAGGCTGGGGGCCAGAGCTGAGGTCCCGTGTCCACTCTGTGTTTCAGGATTGGGAGCTGCTCCCTGCGCCAAGGTCACCCTCGGTCACCAGCCTTCAGCATCTGGAAACACCTCCGACGCAATGTGGCTTTTCCATTTCTTTTCTTTCCTTCCTGGTACTGGGAACACACAACACCAGCTGTTTCATTATTATTTGGGGAGGGGGTATTATGATTTGAATGTTTGTTTTTTTGAAAATGCAAAATAAAAAGTTATATATTATATATATATTATATACATGGAACACACACACCTACACCGACTTGATGACAAGGGACAGTTTTTAAGAGACTGACAAAGCCAGCTGTAAAACATTGCTGTTTGTAAATTCATGTCATGCATAAATGTATTTATGTTGTAAAGCTATTTATATTGTTTATAAAGAGATATTTATAAAAATTTTATTTATGTAACTAAATGAAAGAAGTCAATCATTGTAATGTTTTTGTCCTAACTAGTTGAAAAATGTAAAAAAAAAAATCATTCCATGAACATCTTGAAAACTGTCTTTATTTACTCACTGCGTTTATATTTTAGGAGTTAGTCTGAAGTCTGAGGGAGAAGCGGAGACGAGGAATTTACCTCCAAATAGATCTGACTGCTAGTTTCCCAAGTCAGAATTTATCTGCGTTAGAACCCCCCGGGGAGCTTGCTCAAAATGAAGATTTCTGCCCTCGCTCACCCATGAATTCAAACTCAGTCTCCTGGGATAGGACTGGCCGTGTGGATTTTGTCCGAAGCAACTCTTATTATTATTATTATTAATTTTTTAATTACCAAAGAGTGTATACTTGCCAGAGAAAAACAGAGAGACAGAGAGATAGAGGGGTCGGAGGAAGAAATCACGCCACAAGGGGACATGGTTATACCACAATCCCTTCTCCATATTCCCACCTGTCAGGATTTGGGCCATGCATGTACACATGCCCTGTGTGTTTTTCCAAGCTGCCGGGACTAGGATTCGAACCGAGGCTAGCCATACAGAATCCGACTCCCTTAACTACAAGGCCACAGGCTGGCCCCTAAATGGCCTTTTCTCTTTTTTTTTTATAACTTTGCCGGAGGACACGTGTTCTCACCAGAGACAGAGGAAGAAAGCACGCGCACACACACACACGCACACACACCATGGAGAATGGTCACACTGCGATCCCGTCTCTCCATTTCTCCCTCTCAGTGGAATTTGAGGTCTGCTCACACAAGCACTCAGCATGTTTCTGAAGCCTCTGGATCCAGGACTTGAACAGTGGGGTAGGTCATGTAGGATCCGGCTGCTTTAACCACCAGGTCACAGAGCCAGCCCAAGGTGATTCTTTAAAAAACAAAACCCTTGTAAAATTTATTTCCTCTGAGTGAAAGGGAGACCCTCAACAGGGTCCTGATGTCGGGACCCACCCCCATCACAGGCCCGTGTGCACAGGTATTCAGGAGGTCTCTGGGAACGAGCCTGGAACCTTCCCGTGGGACCAGCCTCAGTGTCAGGGTGTGTGGCCCTGTCCTGGGTGATCCTGACCTGCCAGGCACACAGCTCTGCTCAGGCTCCTGCTGGCTGGGAAGTCAGATGTGAATTAAACTGAAGTCGAGCAGGCCGACTCACGGTCCTCTCACTTGTACCCCAGCTTCTGTTTCCTGGAGGAAGAAATGGCTGAAAACTCCCCCTCAGTTTGGGGGGTTCCTGGGAGGGCTCCCTGCACCTGGCCAGGGCACCTGAGGAGTCTCAGCGGCTCCATCTCATGAACTGGCCGGCAAAGTGTGGGGTGAGCAGTCTTCCCTGGGGATGTGCCTGTGCCACGGGGCGGAGAGGGACAGGATGGCGGAGGGGCAGGGGAAGCTTTACTGAATGTCCTGTTTGTTCAGCGTGGCATGCTTTGAGGGGTAGCAGTTTTCTTCTCACTTACAGCTACTAACAATTATGGTTTCTAAGACCCACAGAGCCTTGAATGTGAAATTGTGAGTGTAATTTAGAACATCTGAATATAATTTACGGTAGAACCGCTTTTCCTGAAGCCAGCAGGTAACTTCTGAATAATTCTGAAATAATCTCGCTAACCCTCAGTTCGGTGACACCCCTGTGCCTGTCACCTAGAGCGCTGTCTGTCCCTGTGCAGAGACAAGGGACCCTGGGAACTCCTGCTCAGGGAACTTGGCGCAGCGTGGCCCTGTGGCCCGGACCAGCAGGCCCAGCGAAGGGCTCCAGAGAAAATGTGTCATAGAGCCGGGGGTTGGCAGGTAGCACCCGGCCTTCCTGCCGGCCTCCCAGCCCTGAGGCCTCTGTCCCCAGGAGCCCTGGAGCAGCAGGGCCACCGGCAGGTGTTGGCCCACACGGTGACCTCCCTCCCGCCCTCTACTGGGGGAGCCAACCACAGTGAGGGCCACTCCAGCTGGAGCAGGGAGGACCTCCCCCACTGCCCCCCGAGTCCCGCTCCCAGTCCCCCTTCCTCCGACTCGCTCACAGTGTGGGCACCGCCACTCCCAGGGATTCCGCTCCAGGTCTCAGCTTCCTGTGCCATCTGCAGACCCCTTGCAGGGGACATGGTAGAACTGGGGGTGGGGGGGAGGTGGCAGACGCACTGCCACTTTGCAGACACAGGGGACCGGGGTGTCCCAAAGCCTAGACAGGAGAAAAGGAGAAATCTGGGACCCGGAAGCTCCCACTAGAAAGTCACGGGTTCCCTGTGGGCGGTTCTGGCTGCCAGGAGCCCAGGGCTGCTAAGGCTCTTGGACTCAGGTTCCCCACTTTCCTCCTCAGTAGCTCGCATCTCGCTGACCGGCCAGAAAACAGCAGGCCGGCCTCTCAGAGCCGCCCCTCCCTGTGGCTCTGCTGTCTCGGGCTCTGGCTGTGCTGTGACCCCTGTCACCTTCGGCCTGGAGGCCTACAGCCGCCTCCTGGGTGGCAACTGGGACCTGTCATCCCAGCCAGGGGTTCTGCTAGAAAGCCAGCAAGGACTGACAAATATTTGATAAGTGACAGGGAATGTCACCCAGGGGTGTCACCCAGGAGCGCCAGCCCTCTGGTCCCCTCCCGGCCTCCTTGTCACCATAAGCGTCTCCCCACTGAGCTGTCTGAATCTTGCGTCTTCTCCCCCACAGGGCGACGACAGCCAGGAGACCCTTGGAGAAAGACCCAGACTCTGGCTGGCTGGAGGGACCGTCCTCTCGGACAGAGCACTCAGTTCTGCAGTCAGAAGGTCCCCAAGGAGGGCAATGGGCTGGGGGGACCAAGGGCAGCGAGGCAGTGAGAGTTCTGGGTGTGGGGGCCCCAGGCCTCCCAGTGCCCTGGAGGAAGCCATCCCCTCCCTGAAGCTCTCGGCTGTTAGAGGTGTCGGGTGGGCATTGGGGGGCAGTGCTCGCAGTTGGCCTTGTCCCCAGTGCTCCCGTTGGCATGTGGAAACCCTGGCTGGCAGGCCTAGGCCAGGAGCCAACCTCTGCAGTCCCTCAAGCGCATCCAAGGGCAGCACCCCGTGGAAAGGGTGCACCCACCACAGCGGCGCTCACGCAGCGTGGTGCCACAGGCTGCCTCCCTGCTGGGCAACTAGACTTCCTCCCTGAGAGCCGCGGCCCCCCAGGGTGGTGGGAGATGGGATTGGGCGTAAGCAGGGGACTCTGGGGACAATGGAGAGGCCACGGTGTCCGGGTACAGGCACAGTCTCAGGAAGTGCTCCTGGCCCAGACACTGGGGCAGGGCCAGGCCTGAGCAGCCCCGCCTGCAGCTCCCCATGCACGGAGGAGGAGTTTCAGTTGGGGAGCCTGCAGATAGGGGTCCCTGCAGATAGGGGACCCGGACGGCTCACATGAAGAGGCTTAGTAGTAGCCACTATTCCTAAAGGCACGAGAAGCTCGGAGAGGGAGCCCGAGGGAAGCCATGTCTCCGCAGGACTGAAGGGAAAGGACTGTCCCCAGCAGGAGCTGGGTGGAGGGGTTAGCCAGGGGGGTGGGATGAAGGAGAGAGTCCACCTTTATCCTTCCCTCCAGCCTCCTGCCAGGGCCTCCAATCAGCTACAGCCCCCAGCAGCCAGCCAGCAAGGGAGCGAGGCTGGCGTGGCCCATGGGAGGGCCAGGCGGGG